AAGTGTCTGGATTGACGGGCCAATTCAACTCAATTCGAAATCGACTCTAAAGTCAAATTTTCCCGTATCGCTGTCCTCAAAGAGTAAAGAGGGTAATGCTTCAAGATAGAGGCATGAAGAAAAGATGATATGGTGAGGATGTTCTCAACAGTCTACACCTCTTTAAGGGTTAAGATTTCATTTCCCAATTCCCCAAGTTTCGATTATGTGAATGACACTTTTCCCGTTCGTAAATATTTTTATCAGTTTAAATCGCTTTGAGGTAAGGATTTTGTGTATGACCAAGACGGTCTGACGGCATTTGATCTTGTTGCTTTATTCAAGATAAACTGTAACATGAAACCAAGATGAAGCAAATTTCATGACAGTTTTTCCTTCGCCTGGTTATCCCTTTCCCCAAAGACTGATTTCCAGCCTTACAATGGAGGTCAGAGGATGGAAAATCACCTCTTTGTTAGCTTGTAGTTACCAGAATTTCCACGTTTTCTTTTATAATCTCGTTACTACGACACATCTGGCAGAGTGCACACTGTTGCATCCATGCGCTCCGGTTATTCAACTTTTCAAGTTAGTTTGCATTACACAAAATGAGTATGCTTTCTACCCTTAAGTATATTTTAATTAAAAACTCTATTCACCTTAGTTCACCTATTTTCATGTACTGCCAATTGCGATAATGTCAAAATGGATGTATATACCTTTTCTCATTTAAGACTTTCCCATCCGAGACTGCCAGCCGTCTCAAGCTCGACGCAAAACGGGATTAGAAATCGTGTCGTGCTCGTCAAGTAGTGACATAATAGCTCTCCTACAAACAGTTGCGAAGGTCAGCTTGCTCGCAGAGCAGATGTGACAATCAATACAGTTGAGGTCTCTTCCAATTTCTATTTGATTGACTCTAGACTTGACAACATTACTAAAATCTAAGTAAGTAGTTGTTAAATAGTAACATATACTTCTACACCTGACTATGAAATGCCAATGTTTTGTTGGGGAAATCAGAATCTTCAGATAAATTTGTCCGTTTCACAGCACATCCACTTGAAATATGGATTGGGAGGTTCCTGGTTTCTTGTTTTCTTCTACCCTGTTCTTCATTTGAACCATTGGCTGAGAGTGTGTTAGCGTTTTATTATTTCGTCACGTGACATGCAAGGCAAGGTTTCCTGGTTCCGTTAGGAGAGATGAGATGAAGTTGAAGCAATATGAAAAATCCGCTCCAGTCAGTGCGATTATTCTCGGCTTCCGTTGTTGTTGTTGTGACAAATTTCAAAAGGCGTTCACAATTCATCTTCTAAATCGAAATAACGAAAAATCTTCTGGTAAATGAAGTAATAGAAAACGAGGTGTTTGATAGGATCAGCACATTCTAATTCATCTCGAGTAAGTGAAATCTTCGGGAAGATAGTAGCCCATGTAAGCTAGGATACTATACAAACAGTCATTAGAAAAACTAACTTTATACAAATATTTCGAGTTTATTTATACTTACGGAACTCACCATCCAAATGTGTGAGCCTGCCATACTTGTCTCTTTTCTCGTTCGTTAATATTTCGTCACGTGACATGCAAGGTAAGGTTTCCTGGTTCCGTTAGGAGAGATGAGATGAAGTTGAGGCAATATGAAAAATACACTCCAGTCAGTGCGATTATTCTCGGCTTCCGTTGCTGTTGTTGTGACAAATTTCAAAATGCGTTCACTTTTAGATACCCTTTTCTCTGAGTATTTATTTGCTCCGATTTTATAGCGACGCCACAAAGACGACTTTTTAAGCCATATTATAAAATATATTTATCATTTTGGATGCTTACATAAAAATTGAGAATAACCTTTATTATGCTATTTCTATAACTTGCTCTTCGGCGCTCGTCATTTTTGAATATGCTCGCCATTCATATAAATTTGTAAGACATATTCTCAATTCAGTTAATGAGGCACAAGCTGTTAGTTTGAATGAGCATCTAAAAGCACTTATTCTCGCTTAATATATCCGGACCTTTGTACAACTCAATTACACGAATCTGACCTTCTAAGTTGATCCCCTCTTTCCTTAACTTCGCCATATCAGGGAAAAAGCAAAATCACCTCTCACCCGAAATGCTTGCCAAAGTCACCTCACTTGCACAGAATGAAGAGAACCTGCACCGTGTCATGGAGGAGAATCGGCGCCTCCAGAGAACAGTGGAGGAGGTGAGCAATCAGCTTCGCCGAATTCAGGCCGAGTCTGTAGCAGAGGCGGACAAACAGGCTCGTCTGGATCGCGATCGCGATGACGAGATTCGCCGACTTCAGAGTCAACAGGTCAGATTGCAGGAGGAATTGGAGCGAAAACGATCTACAGAAGGGGATACAAGAAAACTGGCGACGACAGTTAGTTTTGCCATGGCATTCGAATTACTTTCATCTGATTCATGTCACTAGTTTGGCCTTATATAAACGGACATTTTCTTTTACAAACATACTGCTAGGGTAGGGTTAACTTTGAACATCAACTACTGGCTTATATTTGCAGTATTGCACCATGCAAGTGACTTTGCGGACCAGAATCCGTGTTCCATCACCCAGGGACTGAATTTGCCATTTGTTGAATTTAATTCATTCTTGATATGAAGATGAAGATGGGATGGCCTTTTTTTTGGTAGCACTCTCCTTTAACGTTATAATGTTATAATGTTTATAAAATGACGCTCCGACCAAGTTGTGAAAACGAGGTAGGACCAACAATTAAGTCGTCCGTCTTTCTCAGTAGAAGTCTTTTTTAGCCCAACATCGCACCGACTTCCTAACCTCTGTACCGAAAGCATGGTCTTCCCTAACAAACTGTGAAGAGCCAAATGGCAGAATATGAAGAATCACTTTCCTGTGAAGTGTGATTGTCTTAAATCCTAGTCGTGTAAGAACATTAAGCCGGGAAAATGAAAGTTGTGTTGTGATATAACTTTCATTTCTGGTGCAAGTATCTGATGAGGAGATTGGTTGATCTCTCTTTATCAGAAGACAAGGATTGGGTTACGTGAACTTCGAGGCACCCTCCTTCAGCTTTCCTCTGTCATGCAAATTGATGGGCATAATTTCAGCATGTAATTATCCTCGAGCTTGATAAAGGTTTATAAAACTAACCAGCAAATCTTTTCCTGTTAACGAATACACACAAAAAGCAGCCTAGTTAATGACAGGTATATAAAGAATTGGTTTTTGTGTGTCTGTACCTGTATAAATGCATGCCCAGTCAAGCAATACTAATGTGAACAGAGTAGGGCTTGTTGTCCTAAATTCATCAGAACCTAATGTCCTTTCCATTTTTAAGAAAAAGTAGCTTTATTTGTTATCATTTAGGAGCAAAATTCGAGAAATATAAATTGCGCCTCATCATTTTTGAAATGAGCTCAATCTATTTTCTATCCTTGATTCTAGCAACCAGGTGTAGTTAATCCCTATTTTTAGTTCAGAAGCAGGTTTCCAAGGCATCTCATACATAATTAATTTTTGAATAAAACTTGGTCAACTTAGGTTGCCCAAGGTGATTTAAGGACTGATAGTTGAGTTTTTCCCACAATAAGATGAATGCGTCTCACAGCACCATTGAATGTTTACTAAGTCTTGTTTCATGCTGGCTGGACTTTATTTTCTACTTAGCCTCACTGTCTCATCAGCATCTTCAGCAAGATTCGATAACAGGCCGTAGGTGTCATAGCCACGTTTACCACTCCACTCTACGGCCACAGGACAGATGTGACAGTCAGGTCAGGCCAGGTCTCTCTCAACTTACATTTTATTGCGAGATTGTAAATTACTCAAACATTTGGTTGCCATGGCAATTGTAAATGTTAACTAATTTCGATAATAACTGGGCCTTAATACCATCAATAATTCTTGAGTAAGAATTTTGCCTTTTCTGATCGTCTAAGGTGATTTAAGAACTGATTATCCTGTTTTCATCCATTGAATAAATTTTTATTCAAGAAATACTGAGTGTATCGAAAGCTATTCTTATAAAAATTAAGTTAATCGTCGATTGCAATGGTAAATAACCGTTTTTTTATCGACAATCTCGTTATGGTTCAGCTATCTATTGGCTTTACTGGAATTCTCCTTTGATTATGGTGAAAATTTGCTATGTTTTCATCTTTCATATGTTA